CGCCCCTCCACCTATTCTACGCTAAGTCTCGCTGACAAGCAGACGATATGCTGCAAAGCTGCTGCTGAGCCATGGTGATCAGTAACAAAAGTTTCTACGTGGTCATCCACAACTGTACTACACTCGATTATCACAAATGGCAAACAGCAAAGCATTTTAAATTTCCCGTTTTCAAAAGCACATGTTCAAGTATTTGTGCGACAGTACAATAGTACATGTAGATTGTTCATGCAGATTCGGCTCAAAAATAATATCGAAAGCACCCATTTTCATACTGATAATACTATTATCATTCCGGCTTACGCATTAGATAACCTGTACTAGAGAGTTTAACAGGCCCGTTGTCATCGCTGATTCGCACAAATAACGAGCGATCATGCCTCGCGAGCACCCCGCTTAGGTTTGCTGCGCCAACACTCTTGTCAACGCTCCTTGCATCCGCTCACTACCGCCTTCTAGTAGTGAGTGGTTTTTCGCGTATCACATATTTCTCCTTAGAAGTCAGCCTCTGCAAACTCGCTTATAAGGCTCAAAGATAATGAAGTGATGGCGTGATTCAAATTAACTCGCTCGAGATAATTGGACTTAAGGCGGGATAGCACGAGGTAATTGGATCTTAAACGATCAGGCTAAACAAAAGTATTACTGTAACAGGATAGCCATTATCCTTGCATATGTATTGTGGGTTCTACTCAAAATTGGACAGGACGGTTCTTTGAATGAATCTCCCCCGAATCGCCCAGCGTATACAATTCCGTATACTGATCCGTTTATGTACGAAATAAAGTGGAAAGAAAAGACTTGGTGGGTTCTACTAATGACTTGAGTTTGTATGTGGGCGATTGTCCTCCCACTCCTCAAACAGACCCAAGTCGGCAAATTTGGACGGAATTCACAATATGATAATTGATAATTAATCTAAATGGGGATTAGGCGCGGTGTGCGCAAGCACGCCATTCGAATCACTTGTGATTTGCACTTGTTGGTCAGCGTCTGCACAGTGCAAAGACAGTAGAACAGTTTGATGTTGATGAGGAAGGATGCTCTTGCTGTTGCTGTAACGGGGTACGTACCCAGTGTACCCAAGTTACATGAAGAGTGAACAGTCACTCTTGAGATACCTGGTACATGGTACCAGGGGCTCTAGGAGCCAATCATTGCATTTCTACATAGTCTTACTATAGGTGACTTATAGTTCGTATTGGAAACCAAGCTAAGATTACCTATAAATACATTCAGTATTAATCTTACCCTTAAGTGAGTACTTCGTCCCCTCAGACCAGGGACACGTGAACGGTCGTTCACTTATATTTTGTATACTCTAGGAAGCCTACTTCCTCAGCGCAAGGTGCTGTGTGACCCCGTCACA